CCAGTATTGATTTCCTTTTCTAGAACTATCCAGTATTGATTTCCTTTTCTAGAACTATCCAGTATTGATTTCCTTTTCTAGAACTATCAAGTATTGAATTCCTTTTCTAGAATTATCCAGTATTGAGGCTGCTGGAGCAGACGTCTCTCTTGAGGTGAGCGATGAGGATGCAATGCCTACCCCTTCCAACAGTACAACAGTATCTGTCCATACTTCAGAGAATAGTGAACCTGATGAAAGAGTTCCCCTCCTCCCCCTAGAAATGCCCATCAACAGTGGGGAGGAGGAGACCATAGTGAAGGAAGTTGCAGAGCCAGAAGGAGATCCCACAGGTATGAACATCTAATGGGTTTGTTTGATCACCTGGCCCAAACGCCAATCCTTTGCTGTCTGTCATAGGTTCGTAAACTTTAAAACTTGAGGCACGTTCTTGTAATAAACCAACTGTTTCATGATTTTGATATTTGTTATGTAGCACTCGGAGTTAATGTACCACAAAATTTATGAAGCAAAATAAAGAAATTCTTTAAGCAATAGCCACTACAGGGTGCTTTGCAATGAGTTTTGCAACATTTAAAATATAAATAAAATATAAACTTTATTTATTTTACAACAATTATGAAACAAGTTGTTTCAACTTATATTAATCACTCTTGCTGGCCCAGATGTTAGTGCATGGGGAGTCTTAGTGTGGGAGGAAACCGGAATACCCGGAGAAAACCCACGTGATCAGGCAGGTGACCCAAATCTTTTCACGTCCGATCAGGGAATAGACCCCGGCCGCCTTGGTGAAAGGCAAGTGCGCTATCCACTGCACCACCAGACCACCCAAACATTTAACTATTTAAATACTGAAAATATTTTCTTGAGAACCAAAAAACCTAGTCGTGATATTTATCTATTAACTTGCAACAAAATGTAACAAAGTTTAAGAAAAAATAGAGTATGACCTCTATTAAAGCTCATTGGAGTAAAATCTGACAAAAAACTCCAGTGTCTCCTTACGAAATACTATTAGGCCTAGAGTTATGATATAGGACCAGTAGCTTGCTGGTCATGAGTTTTCAATTTCAAAATATTTTACAAACAATACATATATAATACATACAAATATTTATGCATGCAATACAGCATTGTTAAAAGAATCGGACAACAGGTTAAGCCTATATCAGTCTTCTACATATATTTCCTGTTAGGCCTGACAAAAAGATGTTATGTTGCCCCTTGTCCTGAAAAAAGGTAATAATTCAATTATACGTTTCTTTACTGAAAAAAATGAAAATGTATTCAATTTTAATTTAAGAGTAGTTAAATAAAAAAAACTTAAATTACAAAAACAAAACAAAAATATTATAAAATTAGATTTTGAAAATAAAATAAAATTTAAGACACAAGAAAAAAGAGGGAACAAATTAAATTAAATTTAAGACAATTTCAAGTGCGGTTAGTCGACCATTAAGCGGAAACGCAACATTTTTTTGCCAGGCCTTGTGAATGACTAAATTTAGGTAAATAACTAGTACAGTACTCCGTCACACTTTCAGTCACACTTGATGAGTTTTACAATGTTTAGGAATAGAAATGATCTGGACTAATATTCAAGGTCAAAGGGGTCAAATGTATCAAAACATTAAAATTGTGTCTTATGAAGAACCAAAAGCCCTACAGTCATGGTTATTGAAGGAACAAAAATGTTATAGATAGGTTTCCTTTCAATAACAAATTTCTTGGTATGTATTACACTCATCAAGTAGAGCACTTTTCATTTAAGGTATTGGTAATGATCCACATCAGTTAAACATATCTGTAATTTGGAATTCAATAGACATATGTTGGCAAGTGTTATAAAATGCAAATTTTAATAATGAAAAAAATAAAACAAATTAATACAAATCAGTTTGATATATTCTTCTAAAACTGTTTGTCTGTCTGCACTTTCGTTTTCAGAAGTTATCTCGGCATCCATAGGACTAATCCTCTGAAAATTGACATGGTGATACACTGTGATATGTAGATGTGCAATAGTGGTTTTAAAAAAATTCCAAGGTCAAGGTCACTGTTCTAAATATAGACTATGGGGGATACAGTCCTCTTCCTGGAATATAAAAAACTAACTTTTTAAACATTTTAATTTGGTGATAACTGTGATAATGCAATAGGGGTTTAAAACTTGATTAAGGTCAAAGTTAATGTGCTTCAAATAAATCATGGAGGGTATGGTCTGGCACATGGCAGATCCCTTGTTGGCTCGTCATGATCAGTGTTTTAGTCAACTCACCTAGCCTGAAGAGCCAAGTGAGCTTGTGCCATGGTGCAGCGGCCGTAGTCCGTCCCGCGTCTGTCTGGCATCAACATTTTATTTTAATCGACTTCTTCTTACAACCAAATGGTCTAGTGTGAAGATATTTGGACCTAAGCATACTGTTGTGAAAATGCACTTGTAAAGAGGCCGAGTCGACATCTCTGTATGCTCGGTGAGCAGGTCAACTCGCCCGAGGGTGATGAGCTACCGTGCATGACAATATCGAGTGTAGTCTACACTTGGTAAGGCAGCTATACGGACGTATTTCGTGTACTGTTGGTCTGATCGTAGATTACGCTCGCTGATGCAGGCTAACCGTATGGCTAGCATTCATATTGCTTGTAGCTTCTTACTACAATACTGGCATCAAAAGCTAACAAGTTTGTTCAAATGAATGACCTTCACCCATATTTAAGGTCACAGGGGTCAAATATGTTAAACATTTTAAACAACTTCTTCTGTATAAACAAAATACACAGGGTGATGATATTTGGCCGGTAGCATGCTAGGATGAAGGGCTACCAAGTTTGTTCAAATGAATGACCTTCATATTCAAGGTCATAGGGGTCGAATATGATGAAATCTTTTAAATGACTTCTTATGAATAACCAAATTGTCTAGGGCGATGATATTTACCAAAAGCATGCTGGTATAAAGGGCTACCAAGCTTGTTCAAATGAATGACCTTCACCAATATTCAAGGTAACAGGGGTCAAATATGTTGAAATCTTTTAAACGACTTCTGAAGAATAACCAAAAGCTCTAGGGTGATGATATTTGGCCAGTAGCTTGCTAGGATGAAGGGCTTCCAAGTTTATTCACATGAATGACCTTCACTCATATTCAAGGTCATCAGGGTCAATTGTCTTATAAAACCTTTAAACAACTTCTTCTGAATAACCAAAATGCCTTGAATGATATTAAGCCAGTAGCATGCTGGGATGAAGGGCTACCAAGTTTGTTCAAATGAATTATTTTCACCCATATTTAAGGCCACAGGGGTCAAATATGTTAAAAACAATGTCTGAATAACCTAATTGCATAGGGTGGTGATATTTGGTCAGCAGCATGCTCAGATGAAGAACTATCAAGTTTGTGCATGTGAATAACCTCGACACACTTTCAAGACCTCTTACTGTCCAATGTGTATAAACCTTTAAAATACCTCAGCTCAATAAACAAAATGTCTAGGGTGGTGATATTTGACGAGTACATGCTTGGATGAAGGGCTATAAAGTTTGTGTTCTTGGTTTAACTTTCAAGGTCATGTGGGTCAAATGTGTGTAATGCTTTAAACAAGTTATTAAAAAGACCTAATCATAAATACTGATATTTTGCCTGTAGCTATCAGTTTTGGGGCCAAAAAGGGTCAAATTTATAATGGTTTATATTGGTAAAGGACACTTTGGATATTACATGTTGCTAACTTGATTGGAATTATAACCCTGAGTTGTCAGTTTGATACTTTGAAAATTTTGAGCCAGCCCTTCCCCATAGGGCTGTAGGGCGGGGCCCAAAGGAGTCAGTGTGCTAAAATTTCTTCATTTTCTCTACTTAGAATCAGAGGTGCTGGTTTCAAATACATTTCAGTCTTAAATCTGTATGCTAGATATTGAAAAGGTGGTTTTATTGTTTTTTGTCACTTTGGATACTATTTCTGTTCATGTTTTAAAAACAAAAACAACACTCTGTATAGATATATCAGAACTCAGGTGACCGTTCAGGCCAATGGGCCTCTTGTGTTCATGTAAATCCTTGTTGAAAATTATAGAGGAAGGAGAGGAAAAAAGTCATTATCTGCAGTTGCCGCTGAAAAACTCTAGCAAATATTAGACAAATTCCTTCAAACTTGATAACAATGTTTGTGTTCCTCTGTCTTTCCACCCATCTCGGGCACTCTTTGGTTTTCATGTGATAATTGCTGTAGATATTCTTCTGACGTTTCAACCAAATTCCTTATGCACATCCAACTCATGCTAAGTTTGCCAACCGATGTGATTTGTGCATATTTAAGGATAATCAATGAGATATAGGGCTTTTTTCTTCTTCAAGTTTGAAGCTATACATTATGTCTCAACAACATGATACTCACATGTTTAAACCTAACCTCAATAACATTAACCTACAATATGTTCTGCAAGCAGGGGATATAAATTCCACGAATTTGCTTGTTCATGTAAATATTTGTTGAAAATTATAGATTCTGCAAAAAGTTCTAAGGAGGCAGAGGACAGACCGGTTGTAGATGATAACAAGCCATCAACTACAAACTCTTTCTCATTGGCCAGTACAGACCTAACCATCTCGTTTCCCTCCACTGACACCTCTAAGACAGGTAGGTCTTCACTATAGGTGAGACTAAGACAGGTAGTACATTACTAGGTGATACTAAGACATAGGTCATTACTAGGTAATACTAAGACATGTAGGTCATTACAAGGTGATACTAAGACAGTTAGGTCATTATAAGGTGATACTAAGACAGGTAGGTCATTACAAGGTGATACTAAGACAGGTAGGTCATTACTATGTGATACTAAGACAGGTGTAGGTCATTTCTATGTGATACTAAGACAGTTAGGTCATTACAAGGTGATACTAAGACAGTTATGTCATTACAAGGTGATACTAAGACAGGTAGGTCATTACTAGGTGATACTAGACAGGTAGGTCATTACTAGGTGAGTACTAAGACAGGTAGGTCATTACTATGTGATACTAAGACACGTGTAGGTCATTTCTATGTGATACTAAGACAGTTAGGTCATTATAAGGTGATACTAAGACAGGTAGGTCATTACTCTGTGATACTAAGACAGGTGTAGGTCATTTCTATGTGATACTAAGACAGTTAGGTCATTATAAGGTGATACTAAGACAGGTAGGTCATACTAGGTGATACTAAGACAGGTAGGTGATTACTAGGTGATACTAAGACAGGTAGATCATTACTAGGGGATACTAAGACAGGTTGGTCATTACAAGGTTATACTAAGACAGGTAGGTCATTACTCTGTGATACTAAGACAGGTGTAGGTCATTTCTATGTGATACTAAGACAGTTAGGTCATTACAAGGTGATCCTAAGACAGTTATGTCATTACAAGGTGATACTAAGACAGGTAGGTCATTTCTAGGTGATACTAAGACAGGTAGGTCATACTAGGTGATACTAAGACAGGTAGGCCATTACTAGGTGATACTAAGACAGGTAGGTCATTACTAGGTGATACTAAGACAGTTAGGTCATTACTAGGAAATACTAACACAGGTAGGTCATTACTAGGTGATACTAAGACAGGTTGGTCATTACAAAGTTATACTAAGACAGGTAGGTTTTTTCAAGGTTATATTAAGACAGGTAGGTCATTACTAGGTGATACTAAGACAGGTAGGTCATTACTAGGTGATACTAAGACAGGTAGGTCATTACTAGGTGATACTAAGATAGGCAGGTCTTCACTAGGTGATACTAATACAGGTAGGTCATTACTAGGTGATACTAAGACAGGTAGATCATTACTAGGTGATACTAAGACAGGTAGGTTTTTTCAAGGTTATATTAAGACAGGTAGGTCATTACTAGGTGATACTAAGACAGTTAGGTCATTACAAGGTGATACTAAGACAGGTAGGTCATTACAAGGTGATACTAAGACAGGTAGGTCATTACTAGGTGATACTAAGACAGGTAGGTCATTACTAGGTGATACTAAGACAGGTAGATCATTACTAGGTGATACTAAGACAGGTAGGTCATTACTAGGTGATACTAAGACAGGTAGATCATTACTAGGTGATACTAAGACAGGTAGGTCATTACTAGGTGATACTAAGACAGGTAGGTCATTACTAGGTGATACTAAGACAGGTAGATCATTACTAGGTGATACTAAGACAGGTAGGTCATTACTAGGTGATACTAAGACAGGTAGGTCATTACTAGGTGATACTAAGACAGGTAGATCATTACTAGGTGATACTAAGACAGGTAGGTCATTACTAGGTGATACTAAGACAGGTAGATCATTACTAGGTGATACTAAGACAGGTAGGTCATTACTAGGTGATACTAAGACAGGTAGATCATTACTAGGTGATACTAAGACAGGTAGGTCATTACTAGGTGATACTAAGACAGGTAGGTCATTACTAGGTGATACTAAGACAGGTAGATCATTACTAGGTGATACTAAGACAGGTAGGTCATTACTAGGTGATACTAAGACAGGTAGATCATTACTAGGTGATACTAAGACAGGTAGGTCATTACTAGGTGATACTAAGACAGGTAGATCATTACTAGGTGATACTAAGACAGGTAGGTCATTACTAGGTGATACTAAGACAGGTAGATCATTACTAGGTGATACTAAGACAGGTAGGTCATTACTAGGTGATACTAAGACAGGTAGGTCATTACTAGGTGATACTAAGACAGGTAGATCATTACTAGGTGATACTAAGACAGGTAGGTCATTACTAGGTGATACTAAGACAGGTAGGTCATTACTAGGTGATACTAAGACAGGTAGATCATTACTAGGTGATACTAAGACAGGTAGGTCATTACTAGGTGATACTAAGACAGGTAGATCATTACTAGGTGATACTAAGACAGGTAGGTCATTACTAGGTGATACTAAGACAGGTAGATCATTACTAGGTGATACTAAGACAGGTAGGTCATTACTAGGTGATACTAAGACAGGTAGGTCATTACTAGGTGATACTAAGACAGGTAGATCATTACTAGGTGATACTAAGACAGGTAGGTCATTACTAGGTGATACTAAGACAGGTAGATCATTACTAGGTGATACTAAGACAGGTAGGTCATTACTAGGTGATACTAAGACAGGTAGATCATTACTAGGTGATACTAAGACAGGTAGGTCATTACTAGGTGATACTAAGACAGGTAGATCATTACTAGGTGATACTAAGACAGGTAGGTCATTACTAGGTGATACTAAGACAGGTAGATCATTACTAGGTGATACTAAGACAGGTAGGTCATTACTAGGTGATACTAAGACAGGTAGATCATTACTAGGTGATACTAAGACAGGTAGGTCATTACTAGGTGATACTAAGACAGGTAGATCATTACTAGGTGATACTAAGACAGGTAGGTCATTACTAGGTGATACTAAGACAGGTAGATCATTACTAGGTGATACTAAGACAGGTAGGTCATTACTAGGTGATACTAAGACAGGTAGATCATTACTAGGTGATACTAAGACAGGTAGGTCATTACTAGGTGATACTAAGACAGGTAGATCATTACTAGGTGATACTAAGACAGGTAGGTCATTACTAGGTGATACTAAGACAGGTAGATCATTACTAGGTGATACTAAGACAGGTAGGTCATTACTAGGTGATACTAAGACAGGTAGATCATTACTAGGTGATACTAAGACAGGTAGGTCATTACTAGGTGATACTAAGACAGGTAGATCATTACTAGGTGATACTAAGACAGGTAGGTCATTACTAGGTGATACTAAGACAGGTAGATCATTACTAGGTGATACTAAGACAGGTAGGTCATTACTAGGTGATACTAAGACAGGTAGATCATTACTAGGTGATACTAAGACAGGTAGGTCATTACTAGGTGATACTAAGACAGGTAGATCATTACTAGGTGATACTAAGACAGGTAGGTCATTACTAGGTGATACTAAGACAGGTAGATCATTACTAGGTGATACTAAGACAGGTAGGTCATTACTAGGTGATACTAAGACAGGTAGATCATTACTAGGTGATACTAAGACAGGTAGGTCATTACTAGGTGATACTAAGACAGGTAGATCATTACTAGGTGATACTAAGACAGGTAGGTCATTACTAGGTGATACTAAGACAGGTAGATCATTACTAGGTGATACTAAGACAGGTAGGTCATTACTAGGTGATACTAAGACAGGTAGATCATTACTAGGTGATACTAAGACAGGTAGGTCATTACTAGGTGATACTAAGACAGGTAGATCATTACTAGGTGATACTAAGACAGGTAGGTCATTACTAGGTGATACTAAGACAGGTAGATCATTACTAGGTGATACTAAGACAGGTAGGTCATTACTAGGTGATACTAAGACAGGTAGATCATTACTAGGTGATACTAAGACAGGTAGGTCATTACTAGGTGATACTAAGACAGGTAGATCATTACTAGGTGATACTAAGACAGGTAGGTCATTACTAGGTGATACTAAGACAGGTAGATCATTACTAGGTGATACTAAGACAGGTAGGTCATTACTAGGTGATACTAAGACAGGTAGATCATTACTAGGTGATACTAAGACAGGTAGGTCATTACTAGGTGATACTAAGACAGGTAGATCATTACTAGGTGATACTAAGACATAGGTCATTACTAGGTGATACTAAGACAGGTAGGTCATTACCAGGTGATACTAAGACAGGTAGATCATTACTATGTGATACTAAGACAGATAGGTCATAACTAGGTGATACTAAGACAGGTAGATCATTACTAGGTGATACTAAGACAGGTAGATCATTACTATGTGATACTAAGACAGATAGGTCATAACTAGGTGATACTAAGACAGCTAGATCATTACTAGGTGATACTAAGACAGGTAGGGCATTACCAGGTGATACTAAGACAGGTAGATCATTACTAAGTGATACTAAGACAGGGAGATCATTACAAGGTGATACTAAGACAGATAGGTCATTACTAGGTGATACTAAGACAGGTAGGGCATTACCAGGTGATACTAAGACAGGTAGATCATTACTAAGTGATACTAAGACAGATAGGTCATAACTAGGTGATACTAAGACAGGTAGGTCATTACAAGGTGATACTAAGACAGGTAGATCATTACTAAGTGATACTAAGACAGGTAGATCATTACAAGGTGATACTAAGACAGATAGGTCATTACTAGGTGATACTAAGACAGGTAGGTCATTACTAGGTGATATCGTTATTTTATCAACATGGCATGATTTCCTGATATGAAAAAACTTAATACATGAGTATATATGCTATACAAATTGTTCGTCAGAGAATATTTAAGGATTGGACTAGATAATGAATTGCTCTTTTAATGTATCGATCAGGAACTGAAGTGCACTCGAAATAAACTGCAAAGCAGTTTATGCAAAGAGTGCATATTTGTTTTCTGTCTATACATTAATAGAAAAAATTATTATCTTGTCCAGTCCTTTCTTGCACAAAATATGTGTCATTTTCATTTACAACAAAATAGTATTTCCACTTCACTGAGGTTAAAGTTTTTGGGCAAGTTTTTGCCAGACAGTGTTGGATCATCACACTCAATACACTGTTGTCTTTTATAAGGTTGAAGTATTTATACAGAGTGTAAGCAATGTGCTGAACTATATTTTCATATTTAAGGGGCCAAAAACAACTTAATTGGACTACATTGTAGTTTAAAGTTTTTGGGAAAGTTTGCATATGCAGGGTTGGATCAGTCACCACCATCAATTCGCTGTTGACTATTTCACGTTGTCTCCTTGTCTCGTCATCTCTTCTTTTCAAATGTACAACATCATGTAAGGGTAAAGCAAAACCATGTTATATTGCCACCATTTGTTAAAAGAATTGTTGGCTTAATAAAGGGGTTGGCAATAAATTGAGGGAAACATGTAAAGGAATTCTTAAGTAAAGCATAAATGAGGAACCTGAAAAAATGACAAAAAAGCGAGGTGTCAAATGTAATGATGGGCATTATATCGAGGTTTTACTGTATTGATATTTGCTATCTTACAACATACATCACCAATAAGCGAGCTATGCTGTTCTCCAACAGCTCTTGTTTGAACAACTTCCTCTTCAGAACTAGAAGACTTAGGGCCATGATATCTGGCCAGTAGGTACCTAGCTATAAAATATCCTGAAATAAATGACATTGACTTATTTTCAAGGTCACAGGGGTCAAATATGTAAAAACCTTTAAAAAATCTTCTTCTGAATAACCAGGAGATTATGATACTTGGCCAGTAGGTACCTGGAATGAAGTGTTATAAAGGTTCCTCTAATAAATGACCTTGACCTTCTTTCAAGGTCACAGGGGTTAAATATGTGAAAATCTTTAAAAAAAATAACCAGGAGGCCAAGAATTATGATACATGGCAAGTAGGTACCTGGCATAAAGTGCCATAAACTTAACTCAAATAATGACCTTGACTTACATTTAAGATCACAAGAATTAAACATGTTAAAAACCTTTAAACAACTTCTCCTGAATAACAAATAGGACCAGAATAATGATATATGGCCAGTAGGTTCCTGGGACAGAGTGCGATAAAGTTTCCTCAATCAAATACCGGTATGTAAAAATATTTAAAAAACTACTTCTGAAGAACCAGGTAGCCAAAAGTTATGATACTTGGCCAGTAGGTACCTGGCATGAAATGCCATAAATTTTCCTCAAGTCAAATGTGTCAAATATGTTAAAAAAAACAAAAAAACTTCATTTACATTACCAGGTGGCCTTTGATGATGATAATTGACTAGTAGCATAGTGGGACAGAGCAGTGTAAAGTTTCATTCAGTTTAGAACATTCTTAAGCCAAGGAGACTCTAACATATGGAAATATTTGCTGAATTACTTTTATTGAGAACATTTTCCCATAATTGCTCAAATATCCAGGAGAGCAATACAGACCCTCTGGGCCTCTTGTTATGTTGATCAATCAAATGCTGTTTTAAATCCCCCACTTGTGTGCTATGACACGCCAATCTCGTTGAGTCGGAGACTTCACCAGGCTCATTTACCTGTACTCTCTCAATAATGACGTTAATACAGCCATGTACAGATCTTGACTGTTCTAAAATTGAGTATCTTGCTGGAATTTCCAATGTCAGAAGACATAGTTGCTGACAATTACCAAGGTATTTAAGTGGGACAGATGACTACTTTTTTGGAAAACGTAGTATTTTCAGTATGATGTCATCGAAACATGTTATAATATTTAGCCCAAAGGGCAAGTGAGCTTATGCCATGGCTCAGTGTCTATCATCCGCCGTCCGTCCGTCCGTCTGACTTTGTGGATTTTAACTAAATTTGGTCTGGAGAATCCATGGTTCAAGGGGACTCAATTGTGTATAAACAATGGGTGTGCACCCTCTGGGGGGGGGGGGGGGGGGGGGAGGGTGGAAATAGAGGTAAAACATTTAAATCCTTCTTCTAGCGTAGGGATTAAGGGATTTATATCCTAATGTAGTCTGAAGCATCCTTGGGTCAACAGGTGCCATCTTACAATTTTAGAGTTAAATATTGTTAGCCCTATTTCTCAGAAAGTACTGGAGGAATCTTTCTAACACTTAACATGAGGGTTCCCCAAGGTCCTTAGTTATGCATATTGTTTTTTTGGGACTGATCACAAAACCAAGATGGCTGCCAGCCATCTTGAATTTGAGAATGAATGTTTGTTAGCATTATTTCTCAGAATGTACAAAAGGGGGCTTTCTCAAAAACTGTAGGGAAAAAGGGATTTTATCCAAATTTGGTCTTGAGCATCCTTGAGTCAAGAGGACTCAATTTGTGTGGCTCTGTCTGGTGCAGATGGGTGGGGTTGAAAAGGGGAATTTTAGGTTTAAGTTTTCATAATCCTTCTTCCTCTGTACCGTTGGAGGGATTTTATCCAAATTTGGTCAGAAGCATCCTTGGGAAAAATAGATTAAGTTTTGTATAAAAAGTGAGGGTGTGGTCCCTCTTGGTGCAGAAGGCAGGACTCTAAAGAGGAATGTTAGGTTAAAATGTTTCAAATCCTTCTCTTTGTACCATTAGGGATTTTGTGTATTAAGAATAATTTCCCATGGTTGCTTTATTATCCAAGTGAGTGATACAGGCCCTCTGGGCCTCTTGTTTTTAAACTACTTGGTTGTTTCATTACCTGAATGCTTTCAATGAGTTCTTAAATTGTGACATTTAAACACTTTTCGGCAGAGTTATGCCCCTTATTCATTACTAAATAAGGGCATTCTGTTGAAAATACAAGAACTTTTTGATATTTATTTAATTCCTTTCTATTTAGTTATAGCAACATTAACCACGAAAGTGTAATTATGAAACACAAAATATCTTGTGCCATACACACAGTTAATGAATGGCAAGGTCACAGTCACCAACAAAACAGTGGCAGTAAACACATTTATATCATATGTCACTACCTCCTTCCAATATATCAATATACTTCTGCGGGTCTGACGGGCGTAGCATACTTCCACTCATCTCAATGTACTGTGATACTAGCCCCTATGTCAGCAGATATAACTGTATTACAGGAACAGAGATTCAGCAGGGCAGCAGTGAACTGGAACAAGTGCAGCAAACAGATTCCCGAAATTCAGCCGTTCGACCTGAGAAACAAAGTACTGAAAATGTCTCTTTCTTAAGACCTGTTGGTGATGGAGACTACACAGGTGATGACATTGTCTTACTGTCTGTTGAACCCCTGACAATAAGTGAGCTTGAAGAACCATTGGGTAGGTGCACATCCCCAAAACAGTCACATTTCAACAACTCATGACTCTAGGAACCTGAACTTACTGTGATTGTATAGTTTCATGCATTAGTCTATATAGAGTGAGTCATTCTTTATACCAGGGCTTGCCTGGAATGGAGACAGAATTTATTTTTAAGACAACAAAGCTGTTGACAACCATCCAACAGGGGGTCTGTATTCCCCCCTGATAACTGTCTTTCTATTTCGGCATTCTTGAGGAAGTATTTTTGTGATATTTTCCTATAGTTTCATATCAATATATTCAAAAATATTTTCTGAAATTACCTCTATTTACTTTCACTTCATGCTTTGTAGAATCGAGATATGAGCCTGATGGTGCTGATTCCCTGAATGTGGATGCTCCTCGAGGAGAAAGTCAGAAGGGAGAGCAACATGGCCCGGAAAGTCTGTCTACTCATGTTACCGAATCGCCTAACACACCTTTGAAACACCGTCAAGACCAAGGCTTCCATGGGGAAAGGGCACATGTTGCAGAATTCACATCTCCAACATTTCATCCTCAAGAAACGTGCGCTTCACCTGCAATGGAGGCTGGTAACTATTACCAAACACATGATCCTCACCAAGCTGGTGGACATCACCAAAGTGAAGCCAGAGAGTGTGAGGAAAGTAGGGCTGGAATTGAGTGTGAGGAAAGTAGGGCTGGAATTGGAGCATGTATTTATAACAGACTTGAGGCTTCTGATGATCATCAGGGACACGATATAATAGGTAAACATATATAACATCACTTATATAATGACAACAAATGAACAACTTTAGCGCTAATATAATGCCAACAAATAAATAACCTTAGCATTAACATAATGACAACCGATAAACAACCTTAGCATTAACATAATGACAACCGATAAACAACCTTAGCATTAACATAATGACAACCAATAAACAACCTTGGCACAAATATAATGACAACCAATAAATAACCTTAGCATTAACATAATGACAACCGATAAACAACCTTGGTGCAAATATAATGACAACCAATAAATAACCTTAGCACTTACATAATAACAACCAATAAATAACCTTAGCATTAATATAATGACAACCAATGAACAACCTTGGCACAAATATAATGACAACCAATGAACACCCTTGGCACAAATATAATGACAAACAATGAACAACCTTGGCACAAATATAATGACAACCAATGAACAACCTTGGCACAAATATAATGACAACCAATAAACAGCCTTATCACCAATATTACAATTGTGTAGATTCCACAACGTACCACATTGACAGGGTGATTCAACAATCAATTGCCCCATTGCACAAAAAAAAACACCAAAAANCACAAAGTTGTTAACCATGATACCTATCCAACAACTGTGTGATTATAGCTACCACAAAGTTGTTAACCATGATACC